CTTCAGCTCAAGGCTAGCGCTCTACCACTTGAGCCATAGCACCACTTCCGGCTTTTTTCTTTTTGCTTATGTGGTGCTGAGGAATCAAACCCAGGGCCTTAAGCATGCAAGGCAAGCTCTCTACCACTGAGTCACCTTCCCAGCCCTGCTTTTTTCTTTTTGGTTTAAGAAAGAGTTTATATAGTACAGACTAGCCTTGAATTCATAATCCTGCTTCAAAGTCCTGAGTACTGGGATTACAGTCATGAATTACCATGTCCAACTTTGATTTTGTTTTTTAAAGTCAGAAGCATAGTTGATCAAAGGTGGAGTTTTTTGTTGGAGAGAGGTGCTGGGGATTGAACTCTCAGGATCTCATTCTTAGAGGGCAAATGTTCTACCACAGAGTTACCTCCCAAGTCCAAGGTCTCCCCCCACCCCTCTATTTATTGTGGCCAGTCATGAGGCCTGAACTCTGGGCCTGGGCACTGTCCCTTGTCCCTGAGCTCTTCAGCTCAAGGCAAGCACTCTACCACTTGAGCCACAGCACCACTTGAGATTTTCTGGTGGTTTACTGGAGATAAGTCTTAACGGACCTTCCTGCCTTGGTTGGCTTTGACCCATGATCCTCAGAGCTCAGTCTCCTTAATTTAAATTTTATTGTACAAATGATGTATAGAGGGGTAACAGTTACATAAGTGAAGTAATGAGTTCATTTCTTTTTGAACAGTGACATACTCTTGATCCAATGTAGTACTACATACTCCAGTAATAAAATTATTTTGAACTCATGTTTACTAAACACAAAAGCTGGAGAAACATATTTACCTTAGCCTCAGTGATACAACCCTCCTCAAAGCAGCATTGAAATTTAGATTCATCCTCAGAATGGGAAATGAGGATATCGTAGCAAGGGCCATTCCACACATAAGTATTGATGGTTTACCATTTAACTAGAATGGGGTGCCGGTAGTAGGCAACAGCTAGCTCAGTTTTTATTGATGATTTTCTTTTTTGGGGGGGGTCCGGTCGTGGGGCCTGAACTCTGGGTCTGGGTGCTGTCCCTCAGCTCTTCAGCTCAAGGCTAGCACTCTACCACTTGAGCCACAGCGCCACTTCCGGCTTTTATTCTTTTTGCTTATGTGGTGCTGGGGAATGAACCCAGGGCCTCAGGCATGCAAGGCAAGCGCTCTACCACTGAGCCACCTTCCCAGCCCCTTTATTGATGATTTTCAAGTGAGTGAATCAGATGCGTTCCACTTTCCTGATCAACACTTTCAGCCTGTCTCCCAAACCAAATTTGTTACAAATTCACGGCATAAACTGGAAAAGTGGGCTGTTCTCTTATTTGATTAGTTTGGAAGATTATGATTTCAGCAAATGTAGTTCTGAATATGCTATATGACAGTTTGATGTTGTGTTAAATTGGATGTGTTTTCCTTGGGTGTGTTCATCTTATTGACTTCATTCTTTTTTTGGGGGGGGTGGTCCGGTGGTGGGGCCTGAACTCTGGGCCTGGGTGCTGTCCCTCAGCTCTTCAGCTCAAGGCTAGAGCTCAGCCACAGCGTCACTTCTGGCTTTTTTCTTTTTGCTTATGTGGTGCTGAGGAATCGAACCCAGGGCCTCATACATGCAAGGCAAGTGCTCTACCACTGAGCCACCTTCCCAGCCCCAACTTTATTCTTTTTTTTTTTTTTTTTACAACAAAGCATTTTATTTGTGATCAGTGTCTGAGACTCTATACATCCTCCACAAATTTAATTTTACATAATCTGATACTCTCTTAAAACTTAAACTTTGAACTGCTAGACTTATTTCCCTAAAATAGAAGGGCTGGTATAAATTATTTTCCAGAAATGAGGTACCGTTTCACAGAACTGGTTTCTTTTTGTTTGTCTGTTTTCAAGTTTTAGAGAACTAAATTTGTATTTGTTAAAATCAAAAAGTAGGAAAGATGTTCTTTACAAATAATTTTGATCAAGTATGTGTTCAATGAAAGCAGGATAAAAAGGCTTTTTCAATCTAACATTCTGCATTGTACTGTATAGTTGTTCAATAGGAATGAGCTTCTGTCATTCGCTAAAAGAATGAGTAGTGGGGAACAGGATATGTTGGGAATTTCATAACGGGTAACCGAACCATTCTCTTGGGCAAACCATAGGCAGGGGCAGCTGTACTGTAACTGTAAGGTGTTCCATAGCTTGGAGCTATGTAGCCAGGAGCAGCCGTAGCCCCAACAAAGGCTCCCCTTGTCAGAGTTCCTCTTCCCCTGCCCCGAACTGCCTGGACTGCTGCAGATACAGCTGTATTCACAACACCCTTTGCCTGAGGAATAATCTTCTTTTTCTTATTATTTGCTGCATTGGGGCCAGAAAACAGCTTCTCCAGGGCAGCTAACGCAGCACTTGCCTTTGCTACTTTCTTATTTGGACCTGTGCCTCGGAATTTCTGCCCATCTACTTCTACCTCCATTACAAAGCGCTTATCATGGCTTCCACCAGTTTCTGAGATAAGTTCATACTTGAGACCTCTTCTTTTTTCATTGAGCTCCATGACAGGATTTTTGCCACTTGCTGTGAGGATAGGGCCCTGAGTTCTTACCTCTAAGGTACTGGAGGTTTCAGTTGTAGAATTTCCAGTATTATTGCTTGAGTTTGAAGACACTGTTTCATTTTTGCTTTCATTGTCTGACTTTTCATCAGAACTCATACATTCAATATCTGCATCAAAGCCTGTTGGGTATCCCATTGCCTGTAAAACCTTCACTGCTACGTGAAGTTTTGCTGTTTTCTTGGATGGTCCTGAGGCTTCATAAGTTGTGCCATCCACATCTACAGACATTGTGAAGACTGGGGCATGGACAGGGCCAGACTGAGACAAGAGCTTATACTGAAGCCCAGGTCTGATCTGATTTAGCCTCATTAATGCATTCATAAGGTCTCTTGCTTTACTATCCAGGATTTTTCTTAAGTTTCGTTTCATCTTCTTATTGGGATCTTTATCATCCCCTAACCCATCTTCAAATGGCCTCTTTATAGCTGATGACCCAGCACCTTCTTTATCAGTAACTGACCAGGAATACTTCTGAAAAGGCTTACTAGAGGGAAGGGGGTCCATCTCCAACACTTTATAAATCTGGCCAAACACTGACAGTCTAAGTGCATGCTGTGCATTGTGGGTAATATCTTCTTTTTGGTTGGATAGTCATATAGCTCAGAGCATCTGTTGGGTCTCGCTCACAGGATCATGAAGACCAGGGCCTCCAGGAAGTAGTATTCCAGATGCCAAACACTCCATTACTTGTCTCAAGGCCTCCCCAGCGCCCAAAGGTCTATTACAAGTACCTATAGACTTTTCACATATAAGCTCTAGTGGCCATCCTTTCAGTGGTGCCCACGTGGGGACTCTGTTGCACAAATCACGCAGAATTCAGAGGACAATTACACATGATTTTAATCCATTTGCCCTTGCCTGAAACCATTTGGCATGTCGAAGAGACGCCAAGGCGTTCAGGCATTTTTGCCTGTCCAGTAAGTCTGGAGGATCTTTCATCGAAACATTTTCTCCATCCTTCTTCTCCAATTAGTCCCTAATTAGAGGGGAAGTAAGTATCACCTTCAGAGTTAATGTTGGCTCTTTTGTGTTCCGAATTATAATAGATGCCTCATTTACACATTGTTCCACTTGGTATTTTTCTTCTGTCAGTTTCTGAATCTGTACAGGAAGATTATCTCTTACTGTAGTTAGCAGAGTCTCTGTGGGTTTGTCCTTGCACATTAAAACCAGCTCCAAGTCCATATCATCCTTAATCAGTAAGCCTTTTGCAACCAGTCCAATCCTCATTACCCCACACAACGTCTGACCTCGCTGATCCCTAAACATAAAGCTCTGTTATGCACTTTTACAACCATTTCCCAAAATATAACTCAGTCATCTCTTGGCTTCCTGGAAGTCCATACAAACTCATATGGGATTATCCCAACTTTATTCTTTAATCTTTATTTTTTTTATTTTTTATTTTTTTTTGTTGGTCGTGGGGCTTGAACTCTGGGCCTGGGCACTGTCCCTCAGCTCTTCAGCTCAAGGCTAGTGCTCTACCACTTGAGCTACAGCGCCACTTCCGGTTTTCTGGTGGTTTATTGGAGATAGGAGTCTCACGGTCTTTCCTGCCCGGGATGGCTTTGAACTGTGATCCTCAGATCTCAGCCTCCTGAGTAGCTAGGATTACAGGCGTGAGCCACCAGCGCCCGGCTTTATTCTTTAATCTTTATAGAGACTTTATAGTTTTCCTTTCTAATACTTCTAAGAAAAATTTTATCTCACATTTATGAGGTTTCATATATATGTATATATATACACACACACACACATATTTATGAGGTCCCGTGTGTGTGTGTATGTGTGTGTGTGTGTAATTTACCTAATTTTATGCTTCCATAACAGCATATGTACTTTTTATTTTTGCTGGTCCTGGGGCTTGAACTCTAGGCCTCGGTGCTGTCTGTCCCTCAGCTCCTTTTGCTCAAGACTAGCATTCTACCACTTGATCCAAAGCTCTAGTTCTGGCTTTTGCTGTGATTAATTGGAGATAAGAGTATCATAGACTTTCCTGCCTGGGTTTACTGTGAACCATGATCCTCAGATCTGAGCCTCATGAGTAGCTAGGATTACAGACATGAGCCACCAGCTGCCCCGGGAACAGCATAGATACTTTCATTTCGAGTTTTTGATAACTTTTACAGTTTGTCAAAGTATACTGCGATTAAAGACTACTAATGCCAAGCCTAGGGGCTGGCTCTCCCAGCGAGCATAAAGCTCTGAGTTCAACCCCCAGCACTACCAAAGGTAAAAAAGTAGATGCCTTGCCTGTCTCTCTGCCTTGCCTGCTTGCTTGCCTGTCTTCCTTATTACTCTTTTTTTTTTCTTTTTTGGTATTAGAGATTGAACCCAGTACATTGCACTTGCTAGATAAGCACTTTGCCACTAAGCTACATCCCAGCCTTCTTTTTTTTTTCTTTCTTTCTTTTTTTTGGGGGTGGGGTGGAGTGGGGTGGTTGTTGTTATAGTATGTATGCCAGTCCTGGGTCTTGAGCTCAATACTTGGGTACTGTCCCTGAGTTTTTGTGCTCAAGTCTAGTCATCTAACACTTGACCCCCAGCACTACTTCTGGTTTGTGTTGTTGTTAATTGGAGATAAGAGTATCACAGGCTTTCTACTGCCTGGGCTGGCTTCAAACCATGATCCTCAGATCTCAGCCTTCTGAGAAGCTAGAATTACAGGTCTGAACAAGCCACCAGTGCATGGCTAGGGTGTGCGTGCGTGTGTGCATATGTGTGTGTGTGTGTAGTTTGTGGACAGATTTATTACTGCAAAGCATTTCATTAAAAAGTATGGTTGTGGGGCTGAGAAGGTGGCTCAGTGGTAGAGTGCTTGCCTCACGTGCATGAGTCTCTGGGTTCGATTCCTCAGCACCACATACACAGAAAAAGCCAGAAGTGGCACTGTGGCTCAAGTGGTAAAGAGTTAGCCTTGAGCTGAAGAGCTGAGGGACAGTGCCCAGGCCCAGAGTTCAAGCCCCATGACTGAAAAAAGAAAAAAAAATTAGCACTTGCAGCCTTGGAAATAGTGAAAATATTTGGCTTTTTAAATCATTTGGATTTGACTTCTTCATTTACAGATGCCATGACTTGAATGTAGAGGAGTACTTGCTAGAGGCATCACTAAGCACCTGACTCTAAACATTTAGTGTTTTGTTTTGCTTTTGTACATTTGATTTTTATATAACTGCTTTTGATCAGTCCTTTTGTTGTTAGTAACAGTGAACCTTCCTCCCCCCCCCAAAAAAAAAATCCCCTGGTGACTAATACCATTTTCAAGAAAACTGGTTTGGACCTTTGAACAACTTTTGTTGAAAGTATATTTTTTGATTCCAGCAAAGAAGCCAGGTACTTGCAGACCCTTTTTATCTGATCTTTATGGGAAGAGGAGATGAATAAAGAAAAGCTGTCAGAAGCAATTTTAGAAGGAACCAGTTCTGGACAGTCTCTTAAATCTTCTTGTTTTTAGCATGTGATAAATACTCCAATAAGAAAAATGAAATAGTTCATTATATTTATCAAAATAGAAAAATCACTTAAAAATGTCCTAAAGTAGTAAAGTTCTGGTGCTTAAAAGGTTAAAGCTGTTTTCCCCTCCAGTTATGCTGGGTGAATTAAATATTAAAAATGAGAAACTCTAGGAATTACAGAATGAATCTCTTACTATGTTTTTTTTAATGTTCAGTAGTTGCCAGGATGGAGAAAAATATATTTGTGTCAATAATTGGATATAGTATAATAATAATTTTAACTGGTAAATAATCAGTGAAAAGGAGACTTATAAGGAAACATGTTTTTGTAGGTAGGCTCTGTGCAGTTCCACTTTAGCCGTGCCTCTAACCATAGTTTATTATTTTTAACTAACTTTTAATACTTTTAAATAGTCCCTGTGGAGTGGCTGATAGTTGGGTTGACTAATTACAGTGTAGAGGCAAACATTTATTTTAAAGTACCTTAAGTGACAGGGTGGCTTTGTGAATTGAGTGTGAACATTAGTACCCAGTAGGCTTGGTTTTAAATTATATTTTGTTCTTTCTGAGGTGTGTGGCTTTAAGTTAGTCACAGTTACTCTGTCCCAGTTCCTGGGATGAAGTTAGCCATTACTAAATGGAGATTTTAAAACTGCTATACTACTTAAATGAAAATACCTTTATTTATAGAGTTTTAATTTGTGTGTGTGCCTGTGTGGACTTGAACTCCAGGCCTTGGAATCTTGCTTGACTTTTTAGTTCAAGACTGGTGCTTTATTACATGAGCCGTACCACACCTAGCTTTTCTCTAGTTAGTGGAGATAACAGTTTTATAGATTAGTCTGCCAACCTGGTTTTGGACTGTGATCCTCAGATCTCAGCCTCCTGTGTAGCTAGGATTATATGTATAAGCCACCAGCACCCAGCTTAATTTATATCTTTCATAGTTAAACTTCTTCAGAAACTTTTCCTTCAATGTAGCGTAATAAATTTTATTGTTTTCTATTGTTTAGTAGGAATCCTGGTATGACTATTGATGTATTGATATCCTGGCATAATATAGCAAGACTTTTTGTTTTGTTTTTTGTTTTTTTGGGGGGTCTGGTTGTGGGGCCTGAACTCTGGGCCTGGGTGCTGTCCCGGCTTTTTTCTTTTTGCTTATGTGGTGCTGAGGAATCGAACCCAGGGCCTCATGCATGCAAGGCAAGCGCTCTACCACTGAGCCACCTTCC